TAAAATTTTACTGTGGCTTACCTTAACTAGAACAGCTTTCTATTAGAAATGACATTAACAGGACACACTTTAAGGAAAATTATATAACTCCTGCTGATTCAGTTAGTATTGTATTTGTGGCAGGAAAGGATATCATTTTCATTTCAAACCGAGGAAAAAAAAATCAACGCGTGTAGTGATGTAACAACAATATAATACTGCAACGAACAAGATGTAATATCAGGGTAATTTTATGTTATCAACTGAGGTGATAACGATAATATCACTTAATCAAAACCACGGGCACTATTGATCTGAAGGGCTATATCGATGATCCACACCTTTTTTCAAGTGGAGGACACTCCCATTTCACTCCACATTTTCATAAACTTCTCCCTTCTCGTCCAAGCTTTCTTCTGAAACTCCCATATTGTAGTAATCTTGGGTCACCCGTCTGTCGTCCAGTGACTGGTATTCAGGTGGTTCACGTGGCTGCCCGTCAGAAGGCCTGGGTTGCAGCTCCATATAAACACCAGGTTCTGATGCTTGATGAACACCAGATGGGACAGGGATACCATTGTTTACTATGGTTGTTCTATTGTTAGGCTCGGCTCGTCTTAACCGCCATATTAGGGTACCGTTCACAATAAGAGAGAAAAAAACAATAGAAGAAAGGGCGATGACAGCAGCGAAAAGTACTCGGCTTTCAGCTGAAAATCAAAATGCACAATAATGAGCGCGTTTGCAAAACTCCATAATACTTACAGCTTTCTCCTTTGGTGTCCTAAGTTATACTTGCTTGTTAAAAAGAAAGTAAAGTTTTGGCAGCAAAAGCCTACGATTGAATTGTTGATGAGCATAATCCCAAAAACTAAGAGAATAAGTTATGTCCATGTGCCAAAGCTATGGCACTTGATCATCATACAGCTGAATTTCGTGGAATCACGGGTTTAATATTTATTAAATTAAAAGAGTTCTTGTCAAAGTGAAACGAGGAAATGGCAAATGACAGTAACAAGGAAGTTACTGTAGTAGAGTTGTATAATATGCAAGGTCAGCCGACGAATATATCCAAATCAGGATTCTGCGTGAAACATTAACCATCGAAACGAATTTGCTGGATTTTTTTCCTACACATGGCCAGCAGGGCAGAGAATTTCAACTGTTCAAACAATTGCTTTACTAACCGTAGGTCTTTCATCACTTTTGAAAATAGAGGTTTCTGAGTATCAAGTAAAAATTGAATCACTTACCTGGTTTAATAGAAATCATGGCGATTTTGCTGACATCTCCTTCTAAAATTTGCTGTGAAACGAAACAAAGGTCAAAAAGTGACCAAAAATTATGTTGATTCCTTGATTTAAGAAAAAGAAATGTAGCTCTAACAACATGTTCGTAAAAACATGGGGTTTCCATACGATTTTTGTTTACTTACCAGATCCAACGTTTGGGTCATTAATTGTAACCCTGAGCAGAAATTTCACGGAAATTAAAATTTACTTACACTGTTGTAATCGGTTAAGGCTCTTTGGTATACAATGTAATCTTCTCCCCTTGTCAGTTCATTGTTAACAAAGGCTCCATACGATTTCCCGTCACCAACAGTAAACTTCCAAGACTTCTCATGGACAGGGTTATTTTTCAACTCCGCAGCAACGTAAAATGGACAAAAGTTCGTGTTGTTTCTATTCAAGTCTTGAGCACAATCAGAGACTTTAAAGACAATTACCTGATAGGCACTGAGATTAGGAATAAGAGCGAAATTCCTATCAATGAAACTCTGACCATCGTTCCGTCGCCTTGTAAAACTAAAGGACGTCAAAGACATCGGATTTAGATCTAGGGATCAGGTAGTAGACACTGCCTATATACTCCGTTAAATTCCTTCACATGTTCTTGAAAAAGAGTGATAACGTTTACTTGGAAAATCATCAAAAATAGAAAATTGCTTTATTTATTGACTTTTCTTTAATAAAATGATATATAAACGAATGAATAAATAGGTTTCTGAGAGTCCTGAGATAAAAAGGTGGAGTGAATGTAATTAATGTACACTAATGTATTATATTATTATCATTATATTATTATTATTATTATATGTATTATATTATTGCCCCTTTAACCCTCAAGATCCGATCGCTACACATTTCCTTGTAAATCTGTTACGAAAATTTGGTGTTAGATCAAGAAAACAAGTTCTATCTGATAAGTTTGAGTATTCTCATTAATTGTCTGCTGGATAATGTGTAGATTTTAAGGTTAATCATTCTAGGGATACAAGGGTAAAATAGGTTGACGCTTTATCTGTCTCATCTTAGGGATCACGGGCAAAAACCAATAAGGACACCAACAGTACATCAAAAAATTCATCATTTTGGAATGAGTGGAATACTTCTATAAGTACGTCACCTGAAACTTATAAGCAACAACATGATTTCGAGTGCAATTTGGTGTTCATAAGCTCGAGAAAGTTTTTCAAAGACAACAAAATGCAATTTGTAGTCTTTGAAAACGTGCTTATTTAAACCAAATAACACGAGAATCGTCTTATTACTTGTTAGCAATTCCCATGAAAAACGCATCGCGCGCGCGCTATTTGTAATTGGCACTCATGTTGCATGAGAAATGAACTCGTTTTCCACCAATCAGACGCGCGTAATTTTCCATGTATATTATTAACTTAATAAATGTATACCGTATATTCTATTCTATAGTCACGCACCTTACTGGACCATTTCTTTGCTCTACAGGCCAGAGGTTAATTTCGACCGATAACTCCGAGACTTCCATATTAGTCCACTGAGGTACAAATGGGGCCATTGGAGCTACAGAGGAAAATTGTGTACTAGGTGAGTAAAATTATCGCAATTTTCTAGAAAGAAAAGATGCATCCATCCATAATGTAGCTTTGGACTGTAAAATACCAAATAAAAGCATGTAATAATACTTAGACAGTTCGGGAGAATATCAATAGAAGTCCTCGGTCTTTCTTTTATGTTTAGTCTATGGCTAATATTCGAAGAAATCGGCCTTTACGCTCAGCTAAATGACATGTTCACTTTAATAGTTCTGTTAATTTTACAATCCTTTTTTCCTTGCTCTACTCTGTTCTCTTCTTTCTTGTCCAAAAATTAAAAGGAGTCCTTATATCTACTTTAGAGTTTACAAGTGGTCTGATTTCGCAAGACGGCATCGAAAAGGACTCTGAATGTTTGTAAACTAACAAGCGGCTTTAAGTACAGATGCGCCAGCATACCA